CACATTTCCTAGAGGGAAGGGAGCTCAGCAAAGCTTCAGTGGTGCCAGCTGTTCAAAAGCAAGAGGAGAGAGACCTGGTGTGCTTGCAGATGATCTGCAGGACAGCCAAGGAGGCGTCTGTAGAGTTCACTCTATAGCTCCTGGATGACAGAAGGCTTTTCTAGGTGAGCTGCAGGGGATGGATGTCCAGATTTCCACGTTGCCCAGATATCGGTGGAAGGTTGATGAGCTGAGGACAAGTGCAAAGGAGAAGACACAGCAGCAAATGGGCTTGTTTACAAACTCTTTTCTCATTGTGTCTTCTTCAGGGGATATTGTTTTCTCTACTTAAAGTGCTTCTTATTGACTATCTGTAACAAAACTTAGATGTTTTGTCTGTAGTATAAAGTAACAAAGTTTAGATTTCTGGCTGTCCTATTAAGGAAAGGGTGCAGGCAGATACATCCCAAGCTCCTGACTGAGCAAGGCTGATGTACATGTGTGCATTTAGGAGATGCCAGCACCCACAGTTTATGCAGATACCCAAACAGGGACTGAATTGCTGCTTTTGCTATGGTTTCTTCTGACTGTCAGTGAAGTGTCCTTTACCTGTAGCAGAATCAGAAATCTTCCTCCCTCCATCAATTTCTGATGATGATTTCAAATAAACAGTCACTTTTGTTTACCTTCATTTAGTTCAACATAGCTTGGTCGCTAGGTACTAATACATAACTCTAATAATCTCTTGCAATTAGTGTTAATTACAGTATGTAAATCTATAAAACTGAACTATTTGTCATGATAAAGAACAAAGAGATCACTGCATCATCGCTGTATTACCAGGTTGAACGTGCTGTGGAAAAATAAAATTAATTCTTATTATCTTTCTTACTTTTCTGAATCAGGGTACAAAGAATTTTGCCACACTTGTTTTATGGTGCAAATGTGAAAACATTTGACTCTCTAAATGCCATTGTACTTGAAAATAACTTTCAGAACGTTATGGAGAAGTGTTTTCAGTTACAGAACATTGTTAATAGCGGTCAAGAAAATTTTGTTGGTCTGATAGTTTACCTACATCATTTACTCTAGACATGAGTTGTTTCATGTATTGAATTAAGATAAAAAATTATGTAAATTGTTACAGTGTTACAATAAAATCCAGTTAGTGTTTTATAGATCATTAATCTGTATACTCGACTCACAATACCGTTAAGAATACTTCAGAGGAAAAAATTAGTGGTCTGTGGCTATGGCTAAGATTTAGGGTTTGTTTGGGGTTTTTTTTAACTATTCATTTAAATAAATCAATATTTCTTCCTCAGAACATTTCAGGAATTCAGTTTTCTATTTTACATACAGACATTGCCTTGATCTTTGTCATTTCAATAACGTGAACATCTCTTAGTTACAAGTTTCACAGTGCGAAGTAATATCTGACCATGGATGAGATTTCACTGCAGAATTTTTCGCTCATGCACTTGTATTTACCTGTACATTTATGTATATATAGGTATGTGTTATGCACATATGCTTACAAATACATATACACATCCATACAGACAGAGAGATTAACTCAGAGAAGTCTCTTATGCAAAAGGAAAATAGACATGGAAGTTTAAAGTTTGAGACAATCTAAAATCCATCTTGTACTCTTACAAAAAAGAATATGTTGAGCCTGCTTTTCAAGTGGAAATTAAATTGCTTTGAACTGCAAACTTTGGAATATCTAATAGAGAAGCGTTTTGTCTTTTATTTGCAAAGAGAGGGATATGGTCCATGACCTGGTTGCCAGGCAACTGCATGGAGTGACAAAACATTTTCTTAAGATGTGCTGCCCGTGATGTGTCCGCACAGGGGAAGCGATCCAGCGGCACGGCTCTTCCTGAAACAGATCATAAAAGCGGTTTAGAGTATTCTGGAGAGACCAAGTAAGTGCCAGCGTGACTTAAATTGCATAAACTTAAGCTCTTTCATGACCACATTCTTCCTAATGTTGAGTGACCACATATCAGAGGAAACAGCAAGGTCTCAGTGCTGGGCTGTGGAAATCCTCACTCTCGCTGCTGGAATGAAAGGACAGTTCCACTGAGGGAAAACACATACACCTCTGGTAGTGACAAACTGTTAATGCTCTTTCCTTTTTTTTTTTTTTCCCACAGATAAATTGAGATGTTTCATCTCAAGCTGAAAGTATGTTAATGTGTTTTTAAACTGTAGTTCTCTAAGATACGACCATAAAGAACAGAATCAATTTTAAATATATACCAGCCTCTCAATATGAGGCCAGAATCTCCAGTATTTGTTAAGTCATACCTGCAGTATATATCAGATATAACTACATTGTATACAGATAAAAGATTAATGTATCCATTATTATTTTTCCTAATTCTGTATGATTATGGACAGCTATTCTAAAAATAATAGGTATGAAGATAAGCAGGGATTCCCCCACTCATCATCCTCAAAAAGTAACTTACACTGAACATGAGTGGCAATCAATGTCCCATCTGAAAGTAGTCAAGTAATCCTGAGAGTAGACATAATAAATTTCTACAGCTTTAAGCAAAGCAAGAGGATTAACCCCCCCCACCAACGTGCCTTTACTCAGTTCTGTCTCACCTGATCTTCACCATTGCCCAGGAAAAGGGACATACAAAAGCAAAAGCATACATGCATGGAAAAACCCCCCAGGATCACCATCTTATAGCTAGAGAAAAACTTCTAACAGTAAAGCTTTTGGAAACAAAACAACAAATAACCGCACAACGTTCCACCCATCCCAGTATTTTATGCTGTTTTTCTGATGGTACATAGATTTATTACATTAATTAGATGGTAGTGAAATATTAAATAATACACATTTCCAGAAAGCAGAGAGCTGCTCAACAATTCACAGGTTTCACGTATGTTAAAAAAAATTAAATAACAAAAAAAAAACACCAACACCCCAACAAACATTTAAAAAGCAAGCTAGATTATTGCTGACTCTTATGGTAAAGGTTTTTCACGTTGTGGACACCAGCCCCAACCACACCTTGACATAGCAGTAATAAACAGTTATAACAAATGTAGATACACTGAATTTGAAATGTAGCACTGCTGAATTTTTTCAGAAAGGTGAAACAGAAGCCAGGTAGGACAACTTACCTCATTCCTCTGGAACACATATGTGGGGATCCATGTCTTTTCGAGACAGATGACTCAAATGTCTTCAGTGACCTTTTCAGCTGATACCTCAAGTATTGCAGTTAAGGAGCGCCATACGCAGAGAAATGTTGCTTTTGACATAACTAGAAACTAGCACCAGCTGTAGATGTAACAGGATCACATGTCTCTTGCTCACTGAAAATTTGGAAACACAGCAGATGGTCTTCAGCCAGGCTTGTTGTGGCTACAACCGAAATGCAGCACATGTCTGCTATGTGGTCTTCATCTGACTGCAATAAATTGATATTGTACTTTATAGGTACAATTTTATGATGTTTGATTTTAGGATCAGATAGGAAAAGTTACATCCTTTTCCTGATTATTTTTGTGGCTAGGATTTCACTTATTTTGACACTTAACATGGATAATCTTTCATTTGCTAGTAGTGCAACTTTGTTGAGCAGTACTGTGCCATCATTTGGTCAGGTCGTAAGTTTCTTTTCTTTTTGAAATTGTGATTTCTCCAGGCAGATGAAACTACCATTCTTCAATATCTATGAGTAGAGGCTCACATACAAGATGTCAGAGTGAAATATTATTTACACCACCAGCTGTTGGCTGAACAGCTGTTGAAGGATAGGTAAAATCTTAAAAGCTAAAACCGAAGCAGAGAGCATCACTGAATGAAATGTCTATTTGTTTTTTAAATTGATTCAAAAGTATGGAAAAGGAAAGTAACAAGTGAACTACTTTCAATCTAGTCAAAGTTGTATTGTGCTGCTGCCTATACTAAAAGAAAGGTGGGCGCTTACAACTGCTTAAAACACTTCGTGCAAAAGGAAAGCATGAAAGCATTTCATCAGGCAATTCTGTTTCTAAACCACTATTTCTTGAAAGACTTGCATCTCAACAAGACAAGGCATACAAAGCCCTAAGGGAGACCAACGATGACATACACACAAAGAAGCAAAAGTCTTTGCTTTTCCTTTTTCCATCTTCCTTTCTGACTTCTTGTCATAGAGTACATGACCCGGTAGAAACTGGAAGAACCCTGGGAGTCACAGAGCTTACCCCAACCAAAACAGTGCTCGAGTGACCAAGGGCCACCTAGAGTGGACAAAGTGTGGGATTACCATTTAAAGTACATTTATCCCACTGAAATCAGCACAACTACAGGGCATGGAATGGACTTCCCATGCCTGGTACTCGAGCTATAAACCTGTAACTGACTTTGACCTGCAGAAATTTTTGCTTGAATCCTAAAAGCCGTGACTATCCCCAGCCCCTGATCTCTGGATTTCTGTCAAGGCTTCAGTGTTCAAGAATGGCCCAGTTGTGACAGTTATTAGAAAAAAACCAACCAAACATCTTTTATTGTTTAAGTAAGCAGATTTGAAATGGTATTACTGAAAGGTAAGTATACATGGACCCCCACTGCTCCATTTTTACAGTTGCTCTTATGAGTTGTATTGTACTTCAACTATGTTTACACAGGTATTTTTTTCCCCACATTAATTGCCCCTTAATTCTTAACTTGATTTAAAGCCTAATCTGCCCTAAAGGTACATGGAATAGAACAGACTGAGGAAATACTTGAGAATGACTGCTGTTTACAAACAAACTCATTTATAGTATGCAGTTACTGGTCAGGTGGAACAAGAGTTTGAAGTCTGGCCTGTATTACAAAGCCTCTCTTCAAACATCCATTTTGGATTATTGCTGGAAGGTACTAATTGGTCTATTCTAGACTAATTTACAAACATTCATAAAATATGCATGCTTTAGAAACCTGATACATTTCATGCCTCTGGACTAAAAGAATATGAAGATGGAAGCAAGTGATGGGCATTTTTAAAGCAGATTAGTAGTGCTTAGAGTTTTTTTTCATTTTTACTAACAGACGCATCAATTTTTTTCTCGTTTCTTTCAGGTGATTTTTTATCTTCAGGTTTAGTCCACGGAGGGGTTTGCAACTTCTGTTGAAATGAAAATAGCATCAGTGTAAGCACTGCCTATACGATACGCACATGCATAAGCAAATAAAAAAGTATGTTAAAAATCCATGGCAATAGTGCACTCAGAGCTGCACTTGTCTTAAACTGATGGACCACTCAAACTACTAGACCATAACAAAGTATTTGTTAGCTGTGTCTAGAAAAGGATTCTAGTTTCTACAAAAAGAAACTTTGACAGTGCAAAACCATACAAGCCTGATGATGCTTTCTAATCGTGGTGATTTTTATCTTTTCCTTTTGGTCTATTAAATTAAGAGTTCAGGTGCTAAAACATAAGTCTTAAGACCTTCTTAAAACTTTCCTGTTGCTATCATAGCTGTATATAGCTTCACATATATAAATGCAGGTATTTAATTATTTTGGAAATCTCTCTCTTCTTCTGTTCCCAGGGCTATGGACATCACGCTACTCAAGTAATTTTACTGCTAGGATAGTCCAGTCCTTAAAGTATTAAATAGTTTTGTAAATTGTTAGCAACCAGACACCATTCTGAGCACATGAAATACAATTAGGTATACTAAAAGTCTCAGCTGAGTACGCAGTTCTGTTTTAAAAGCATTCACATGGAAGGTGTAAATATACTTCAGCTAATTGCATGCTTTACATTACTCAGAAGCAGAATACCTGAAAGCTTGTCTCTGATACTGCTGTCTTCAAAGGAGATGTTGAATTACTGCGATTCCCCACACATGTCTTCCCAGCCTGTCAATAAAAAAGTCAGAAATAAGTACTTCATATTTTTTTTTTCTAAAATAGTCACAGTTTTCCTAAAAAAATAATAATAGCAATAAAAAAAATCTCAAAATCATGGTGTTTGTTTTAGTAAATCTGATGACATGGAACAAAACAAATTTTTCATAACTAAGTGAATCCTGTACTCCCATCATCACCATAATAATCTAATGTGGCTTCAACTTTAACAATGCTTCTCTAGCTTATTTTTCCTCATGTTTAAATCTCAAATAGCGAAGTTTATTCTGCAGTAGTCCCAAGGAAGAGATGTGTAATTATAATTGCCCGAGGAAATAGTAACAAACAGCTGAAAACAAGCACTGCAGTTAGGACTTCTTTATTACTATTCTCTTGTCTAAACTAGAGAGATCTCTTGGGTATACTAATCCCTGAATGGGAAGTTAAATGACTCTTGAGGTACGGAAAAACTTGTTAGATTCATCACTGCCATTCTATTCCAGCTATATTGTAATTTTCTTTGCCAACGTGCTTCTTAGTATCAGAGAAAACAGAGTTGAGTAGCATAAATAAAATTACAAGTAAACTTTTGAACCAAAGAGACCTCATGTTACGAGTCTTAGGTAGAGATTTAACCAGCACTGAAATTTCTGTTGTAATTAAATTTAAGTCCCTTCAGGAGTGGGATTAATGATGCCATAACTGAAGAAATGAATATGTGAAATGCAGTAAAATGTCGATAATCTTTGGTCATTACTATAAAATGTGTTCATATTGGAATTTCTTTACTTGTTTTGATACTAAAACTGATACATTTAAATGGAATGCAAACAAATGATTTTTTTTTCAAGTTTTAACTCATGAAGACTCCAGCATAACAGTAATATTTATTTTAAATTTCAACATAATTATTCCTTAAAAATATTTTCTGTTTAGTATAAGCCCTTGAAGATTTCTGAAACTAAGTCTATATAGATTAGTTTTGTACACATCAGATGTAATCCAACGTATTAATGAAAAACCATGAAAAAAACTGTAACATATGGACAAGAGCTTTGCTCATAGGAATATGAAAGAAATGTACCTTCAAGAAGAAACTCCCAATAATACCCACTACAAGGTACGCTGTCATTTCTGCATGGTTGTGGGGGGTTTTTTTAATATTATGGTTAATAACCTTGGTCTGCGATAGAATAAAATGTCTAGGACAGTAAAGGAATCACAAACAAAGAGAGAAAAAAGTCTCTAAATGGTATGTTCTGAGACATTGTTTTGGACAATTTCTTAAGAAAACAGAAAATAAATCTGAACTCATTCTATAGCAGCTTAAATCATTACATCATAAAAATTATCTCACTTATCAGAGAACACTCAAAATAAAACCCTTACATACAAATTAAATATCAAGAAATTTTATACATATCCTTTCAGTAAAACTGACCTTAGATTGGAGTTAATTAAAAACTAAGAGACGGACAAGGGGGAAGAAAATTCATTAAATTTTTGCACTTGTGAAATTCTGACAGTCCCTTGCCTGTGACAAAGTTGATGTCTGAACAGGTGTGAATGCAAAACTGAAACATGCTAATCAGAAAGCTCCCTGGAGAGGAGATGGTTGTGTCCCTCCTGCCAGCTGCTATAGAGATGGTGGTACTGCCAAGGGATTTACAGTACTTCAGAGAGGCTTTAGTCATGTTTAAACTATGGAAGAACATCTGAGAGTGTGCGATGGAACTGACTGATGGTGGAGACTCTTTTTCTAATTTTTCCCACTATACATAATAGCTAATAAAATTTGGCTTAATATTACATTATAGGGAATAATCAGGGTAGTATAGAGGGGAAAAAAAATCTATTTATTAAGCACCTACTCCTTTAAGGAAAAAAATCACTTAACAGGTGATCAATTTTCTAGATAAATATTAAAGAGTGAGATGACAAAGAGTAGAAATTTTAAATAAAATCTTAACACTTCAAAAGCTTAGAATTGTGGTCCTGGCAGAACTATGATTATTAGTGACCAAGATTAAAAAAAAAAGAATGTTTTCAACTTAGTCATGTTTAGAAAAAGTTGAGTGCTTCAGAGATTTCTAGGTGAGCACCTTGAGGACAAAAGACATTACAGGTCAAAAAAACCCCAGCATTTCAGGTTGTGTAATGAAGAGGACAGAAGTAACATTAATGAAATATAAGATCATTTACAAATCTGTAGTTTGTGCATACTAAAAAAAAAAATCAGGTAACTTATTTCACCAAGACAATACACAGGAGACAGGAATCCAAAAGTATTAATTGAAATTAATAAAAATACAGGTCAACCATTTAAGACACACACAAAAGAATAAAAGAATGTTGCCTTAGAGAAAATAAAAGCTGCTGGTAAAAGCAATGCTTTATGAGTGACTAATCTTTCCTACTCTTTTCATAGACCAGATAACAAAGGCTGTCTCGGCAGCAGAACAGCAGTGACGATTTATGTCTGTTGTATTTCATACTTGTTCACTCTCAGTTGTTTTCTTTTTAGTAACCCACCATATAGATCGCTGTTGGAGGAAGATAGTATAACGGGACATTTTTCTAGACAAAGCACCTCCCCGCCTTTATGTTGGCAAAGCATATTGATTCCTTGTCATTTTGAATCCTTGTATATCATTAACAAATGAATTACAGGCTGAACAACAGTGGTGACTTTCGGTGTGACATTAGTCAACAGCAGTTCAATAGCCAAACCTGTGACCTGTGCATGCTCCTGGTTCTCAGGCAGCTCAGTTCCTAAAGCTGAAAGTGATGGGTACAACAGCCTTTCCTGCTGTTAACTGCAGACTGCCTTTGACACACCTAAAGACTTCTATACATACACATCTGTATACAAACACCCACACCCCTGTATGCATTTATGTGCTTATATAAACCACATATACTTGCCATATATATGTGTATATAACCATATGTATATATAAACACATAAATACACAAACATACACCTCCCCCCTTTCCTTCAGCTAAAGATCACCTCAGACAAATGGGAGAATATAACCCAAATATCCTAGCATACCTTTCAGAGACATGAGTGATATGCAGAAAAAAGAAGCCAAATATTTGACTTTTTTTTTTTTTTTTCCCTAGTTCCCCTATGCCAAGTGGTGGAAATATTGTTTTGTTTGCTCTTCTGTGAATCTGTTTTTCTGTCAGACTCACTCCTGTGAGAGGTGCAGTAATTACAAACACAGAATGATAGCTTGACATGGTGGAAACTAGCCAAAAGCAAAAAATAATTGCTTTCAGAAAATAAAGGGGTTGAACTGTTGTCAGCATGTTGGTTTTTTTTTTCTGTGTTTTTTTTTTTTTTTTCTGTATTATGCAGATGAGTTTTTAGAAATGTCTGCTGGAAGAGATGCTGGATTCTGCCATGCTCTGAATCGAGATTTCAGCATGTCAGGGATGTGAGGGGGAGCTCGACCCTGGGTTTTTCTCCCATCAGAGCAGACATCCCTTTTGGAGATGGGACGGTGAGGAATGGGAGGATGCTGACTCTGAAACCCTCTGTTCAGGGCACTTACACTTCCAGCTCACACACAAACCCTCTAACACACAGAAGAGAGCAGGGCACACACTTACCCCTCGTAACGCACCGTCTTCACTCCTTGCAGCACCAAGGAGGAGGAAGCCCAGTACCAAATGATAACCCCTCAGTCTCTGCTTGTACAGACATACATACATCTGGGCCAGAAATAGCTCCCCATTTCTCTCAGGATAGATCAATTGTTGTTTTTCAAAAGAATGAATATCTTTAGAAAAATATTACCAGGAAAGCTGACAAGACTATAAAAAAAGACTAAAAACATCCAAGTAGAAACAAAATTCAGGTTAAAAAAAAAAAATGAAAGGCAATAAGTCCCAGAAAAAATAGACTGACTGAAGTCAGTCTTGCTAGTTTAATGCAACTCCATTGCCTCCTGTTATAGCACTGTAACAAGGCAGGCTGTAATTTAAAGTCTTATCAGCAATACTTCAAGGTTGCTCTGGTTTTCATGCCAATTGTAAAATGACATTTCCCACTATGGACTGTCTAATGTCTTTCTGTGGGTAGTATGTAGATCTAGGGTCAACATAACCATACAAAAAAATAATATTGGCTGTCTTTTATTGATTGTGCCTAAAATGACAGGTGAATGAAGAATGCTGAGTAAAAGGCAGAGAACATGACAGAGGTGGGCAAGACTAAATACCTGGGAAGCTACAGAGTAAGGAGAGTCCTCCACAACACAGATGCCTTGATGTGGATGAAAAACTCTGGATGACTAAAATCTTATAACACTTTGAAAAGCATTAATTATTGTTAGCATGGTAAAAAGCTGCCTCCTGTTGAACTTTCCATACAAGATTGGAAAAAAATTCAGCATGTTGTTTTGTATTTATGAAACGAACACAAAAAAAGCTAACAAATTTCTCAAATTCTAACTTTATTACCAAAGTCTATTTCCTGTCATAGGCATTTAGAACAAACTGGGCAGTTTATCCTTCACTACATTCTGTGTTTTCTTCTGCCTTCTTTTAAGGAGCCTGAGGATGGCAGTCTCAAAGGGAGCAGGGATGGCAGATTAATTCCTGGCTCCCTTCTTCCCTTCAGAAGCACAATCCCTGATATTTTGGAGATTCAGTTAGCATTTTCTGTATTCATCAGCCACAAACAACGTTTACCTTGCCAGGTTGGAAGGAGCAGTTGGACCATTTCTCTGTTTTCATCATGCGGCTAGGCTTGGCATTTACCAAAGCTTTAACTGCAACTTGCCACGTCCATAGGTTCGTCAGAGATGAGGAGGGATTCTGCTACAGGTATTTTTTTTCTGATCCTCCTAGCTGCATTAGGATGTGCCCACACAAGCAATGCCCTTTTTCTAGATTTAGGTAGCAAACTTTCAATGCTTATAATCATACCGAGTGCTTCTGTAAGGACACACTTATTAAGGAAATGATGACTAGTCTTTGATGTGGTTTTAAGACTCAGAGCAGTGAAACAAGACAGAAAGATGGATTTCTCTGAAGCTTAGAGTTCTAGCTCCTCTCTTTTCTTCCCTTTCCCTAATATTCCCTTATTTTAATAAAAATTATAATAATTTAATATGTTGTGCCTAACCATTAGTGGCATATCACAGAACTTCACTCATGAGTGAATTAGTTTTACAGAACAATTTCTGTATTTTAAGTGTGGAAGCATTTTTTTCCCTGGCCATTAAGTTGTTCTGACTGGTATTCCCAGTATGTCTGCCAGATTTTGTAAAAATGGGCATATTTGTAAAAAAACCCCATATTTAATAAATTACATATGCTCTATTTTTGTCATAAGACATCAAGAAGGAGGTAACATTTGAACATTCAACTTTAAAACCTTTAACATGCAGCACTGAGAATTCCAATTAGTGAAGGCTAAACCTTTCCCAAGAAAAAAAGTTCAGGAAAAAGAAATTCTGGTAACTTTTATGCAAGAGTATTTGATAGCTAGTCTTGCCATATCACTGGTTTCAGTGTTACTAATTCTTTTCAAATTGTGAAGTTTCTTCTTAATGTCTCCTGAAAATTTACAATTTTTCTGACTAAACACTACCTAAGTCTTAAGATTTTCTTGTATGTGGTGGAGAAACAGACCAAACTTGGTGATGTTTACTGCTTGTTACTTTCTCGATGTAAACTTTAAGAAACACAAAACAATCTATTTGTGTTTGTAAAATAAAATTTTCACGCAGGTGCATTTTGCCTTGAGCAATATATTCTGTATACACAAGAGGAAAAACAACTATCAAGAACAGTAACCAAGAAGTTTAACAAGAGAAAAATGGAGGTGGGGCATATGTCTTGAAATACTGTGCTACCTTTATCAGCTCAGTGTGCAGCTTGATTAACGAAGTGTCTTCGTATGAAATGCTGGTTATAAAGTATGCAGCTTGATCAGTAACGTATGCAAAATTTCAGAAGTTATGGTCTTCAATTCACCTAGTGAATTATCCTGCAGAGCTGAAGAAGTTCACAGATGGATGTATAAATTACAAAGGTGGATCAGCCAAGTGTGCAACAGTGGAGAAAGTACTGAGACAGTTCTAAAGAAACTAAACCTGTTATGGGAGAAAAGGATGGCACGACTGGCTCAACTGACAAACTAGGTATCTCAGCAGTCAGGAATCAAGTTAGGGCCACAGTTTATTCAAGGACGCTTTATCAGATTTGCTCATGAATATATTACAGATCTGTATTTCAATTTCCTTTTACCCATCTTGTTTAGAAGAAAAATAGGGAGCAAGATGTAGGTGAAGTGTGCCTGTAGGCTTTGAAAAGACACCTCCGCCATTTTTCACATCCTTCTATTGTAGAGCACAGTGTACTGAGTAGCAAGTTAAACTAAGATGATGTAACTTCTTATGGCCTCCATAGTCCTCATTTAGGGAACAAAATTACTGAGTTCCTTTTAAGAAGTTTATCAGGTCGAAATTTTGTTATAGTGATGCTTTCTTTTTTCTCTCATTATTCCCTTGAGAAAGAGTACAATGTGATCAAAGCCCTGCAATTGAAGCTGATAGAGAAAAATGAAGCAAAACGCTGTGGTTGCTTAGAAACTTGTACAAGTTTTGCTCCAATACTCAGAGTCGTTTGTCACAGAATGATTAATGAACATGCAGTGTTTGTTTACTGCAGGAAATTAAGGCAGTAAATAAAAGCACTATCACTTATTTATCAGAGAAGACTCTACAAGGACAAAGAGCAAGAAATCTAAGATAAGAACAAAGAATCATTTTATAAAGTGTTTGATGTTTTAGCACTACCAAATACGTGGTTTTAAGTGACACGCTACATGCATGAGAATTATTTGATATGAAAAAGGGACAACGTACTTTCTGGTATAAAAGCCAAAAAATGCTCCTAAAAGCTTTTCAGAAAAGGGAAAGGATACAGGGAAAAAAACTTCTCAGAGCTCTGGTTCTGCACAGAGACTTTCAGGAGTCACTTATAGGGAAAACAGCTCTGGACAAGACTAATAGCTCTCAAAACCATTCCTTCAACAGACACTGCAAGAACAGCACAACAGAATTTTATAGATACCCTGTTGTGCATTGGTGTGAGTCTTGGAAATATTTTTTAAAACTGTGAAGAGAATGCAGCTATGATTACTGTATACTATATCCATTTTTTCATATGGAAAATTAATTTCTGGCAGCAACATGTTTAAAAGCAAGATAAGACTGATAAAACTGATATTGCCTGCTTAATTTTCCAATAAGGAGCAAGGCACAGTGAATTTGAATACCCCTAAGGTATGCTTTCTCTAATATTACTACTTCTTCCTCCATACCAGAGGTTTTGTCAAATACAGATTTAACAAACCTTAAAGATTTACAATTTAAAGGAAATGTGAGTCCCATAGAAAGTAGAATTAGCCTTAAAATATGATAATTGATATTAAATGATATAAAACTTAACTTTATTACTCAAATTTAGATATATAGCCTTATTTCTTTTTCCTTGAATTGCAATGCTACTTGGATGAAGGCAGGGAACAGGGTTAGATTTTAGTTTAGCTAGAATAATGAAAAAGAGTTTGACTCCTCAAGACTTTTAACTCCAGCTGAGCCTTCTGCTTTCTCAATTTTTTCCTACTAGCAGCATACCATGATGACTAAATGGCTAAAAATATTAGTTGGCAGAAGAACAAGACACCACCACACCCTTAACCAAAATAACTAAATCCTTGATTATAGGAAAAAGAATGTCTTTTAGATGTTCACTGTATTACTTGATGCAGAAATTAAATACTCTCATGATTTGTGAAATGCTTTTATAACTTTTGTTTTTTGCTCCCTGCTTTAATGTATACACTTCTGTAAGAAAAAGGTGCTTGAATCTCTTTCCACATGTATTCAATTTAAATAAGTTCAGCCTCTATCTAAAGTAAGCTATATTCCATCAAACTTTCCCTAACTTTCCCAGGTGGTTACCAGCCTCTAGTCATAATTTAAATGGAGTCTACTCTGACTTCAGAGTTTTACACCTTGTTCTTCCTTCCCCTCCTTCAATTTTCATTAATAAGAAATGAAATTTCTTCCATCTTTAGACATTAAGAAAGCTGCACAACAGCAAATTATGAATTATTCTTCCAGATACACAATTTCTCCTTGTCTCTGCCCCCTCTAGAGGATGCAGCAGAGAAGTTCCTTATAAATCGATAATTAATAAAACTAGTTACATATTTGTAATAAGTGGATAATATATACATATCCTTACAGTTTGATGGATATTGCATTATCTGCTTTCTAAACTTTCCTTCCCATCACTACACATTGCTATGCTCGTAGCAGCAAGGTACCCGGTCACCTGCACAGGAGTGTGCTCTGTTTGCAGGAAGGCAACCCATCCAGTAGCTGACCCAAGGGCCACTGTAACAGGCTGTTTTCTGATGCCTTCTAATTTCATCTGCAAATCAGTCAAGGCAGCACCATACATTTTGGACTACTGAGCAGACAAACACACTCGCTCAACAAATTGTCTCATTCATTCTTTCTATTTTTTTCTTTTGTATTTGTCTGGCTATAATTGCAGCCCTAGCACACGCAGTTGGGATTTCTGTGCACAGCTCTCACCATGCTGTTGGAAGGAGAGTTTTGCCTGGGTGGAAGCTGCAGACTGAGCTTTCTGTCAGACGTGTCATAAGGAAATCACAGCTCGGGGCTCTCCTAGACTGGCAGTGGATGAGATTACAGGCGTTCAGCTACTGCACTGTCACCTCTTACATCTCCCCAAAGGTTCTGTTTTATCAGATGCTGAGTCTGTGGCAGATGTGCCTGATTAGTAGCGGAAACAATCTGTAAACAAGGTTGTGTATCTCGCCATACTGCAGCAGCTCTTCAACCAGGAGCAAGCCAATTCTGTAAATGGTTAAACAGCAAATCACTTCCTTTCCACTGCTCTTCTTCCTGCAACAGCTCTACACGTTTTATTAAGTAGTCTTTAAGAGAAAACCAGAGAGTACAGCTGCCTAGATTGACAGTGAAGAGCATTTGCTCCTCAGCACTTCAATGCAGAGTACTGCTGGCTTATGGAAATGTGTGTACCAGCTTGACTAGGAAAAGTAAGTCACATGGATAATTGCCTAAGGCATTAATGGGTTTGTATAGTTCTGATTTCTAGGTGAGCTAAGCTTACATCTTGAGAATCACACTCCTGGATACTCTGATTTTCTTCCTTTCTCGAGGTCACATGAAGATTCTCCTTCGCTGCTGAGGCATTTTGCTGGACAAGGGAAAAAAAACAAAACCCCAAAACAGTTAATAAAGATAAAATATCAAATAAATCACATTTAAAACAAAAGAATAAAAACAAAACAAAACAAAAAAACTAACCCCAAGAGGTCAGATATTACAAACTGTTAGAATATACATTCTCATTAAAGCTCTCCCTTGTAAAGAATTACATGTGAGTAATCAAGACCTTCTTAGAACTGACCATGACATGGTGAGGTATTGCTTTGTATGCTACTAAACAAAACTAGATAACTACAAGACAAACGACATTTTCTTTTGTGCAAACAGTGTGCACCCATCGGGGTGGGTAAAGGATAGGGGGAAAAAAACCATTTTCAGAATTCATATTCCTCTGACTTTTGTGCATTCTGGGAAAGATTTAGGCTCTGAATTGAAGCCATTTATGAACTGCTTTAGCTTACATCAGCTGCTCACGATCTGCCCCTGCTGGGACCTCATGTCATGGTGCGATGACAAAACCTGTGCCATTCCCATGCCTTTCACTTTCCACCATACACTCAAAATGACCTGGCTGGATGGGGCAGGCTATCACTTTATATATCCTTTCTACCTAAATATTGGCCATTTTATACATGTTTTTCCACATTTCCTGCAACTTTTAAGATTCAAAGATACATGGACAGGAAGAATATGCACCATTTCTTTTATACAGCGCTTGTACTATATTTATACCTTGTTATTTTTAAATTTATCTTGATAGCTTCATAATTTTGCAGATTTGAATACAAGACCATGCCATAATAACACAAGCAATTATTTCAAAAAGAAATGATCAGTAAAATCTGGAAAATGTATTGCTAAATTAACTGGATATACCAATACATGTATCATTGCTTGTACATCACAACTGCATACTCTGCTGAGACAAAATAACTAAAACAGCTGCATGCTCCATAATTTGCTGATAATCATGAGATAGTCATTAACACCTTGTTACTCTTAGTACTGCAGGATTATTTGTTTCAAAAAGCATTCATTTTCCAATGTCTAATTCAAAGTCCATTGAAATTAAGAACGTAAATTACCTAAGATTTGTATTTCCAAATTATAGTTTGGCTACAAAAAAAACCAAGCAAAACTGTGCCACCAAAACGCAACAACAACAACAACAAAAAAACCTAAAACCCAAATCAAAACATAACAATTTATTCTTTCTCTGATATAACATATTCCCAGAAAGTAACCAAATTAAAGAAATAGCATTGATAAATCTTTCTTTTTGTTCTAAGTTTCAGACTGTTAGATGTTTATTTAATTTATTAATTTTTTTTTAATTTTTTGTTTAAATTAAGAGATTTTAACTATCTTTATGGATTTGGCTTCTGTTAAATTCAAGATTTTTAACAATTCTGTTAAATGCAAGACATCTTGAAACAGGCAAAAAGAAAATCTAATTTCTCTGCAAAGAAAAGTTAGAACTTCAGATACTGATTTTGAAAGCTTGAACCATTCCTTTCATGGGTACTTATACTGTATTAAAGTACTAACAAACACAAACTTTTCAAAAAATTATGAACAGCAGAAAACAAACTTGGCTGGTTAGTATTTGTAATATAGTCTCTGTTCCACAGCTCTCCAGGGAAGAACAGTTTCCATTATAAAGCAATTGACTACTGGAAAAAAGTGATGAGGAGGTGAACAGATTAAAAAAAGATCAATATAATGATCAATATAAATGTTTTGTTAAATAATGAATGCCACTTCATACCTGTACTGAGTGATTTGCTTGTTTGGGCTGAAAGAATTATCACAGTTCTGCAAACTTGTATTTCATCCCACTGAATAAAAGAGGTGTATGTGCAGTAAATGACAGTACACACAGTCCCCCGATTCTCTGACTTCCTGAACCAGTAAACCCACATGGGAACCCAGGAAAATGAGCCAGCTTGAAGCCTTACTAACTCAGGAAAATAAATGCCTGTGCAGACTGCTTTGCATTTCAGAATTTGATTCCTGCTCAAGATGGTACCTTAGCAAATGATACACAGATCATATGTATTCAATTTCTCAGCATGCTGTACACATTTCTACAGAACAAGAAGTTTCCGAAGTTTAAGTGAGACCACCATCAAGAAATCACTTTCCCAGTGCCACATTTTCAACTGTTTAAAACATTTCCTACTTCTAGGAAAGTGGAAACACCAAAACTTACAATTCACATCCTCCTTACTATTGAAAATAGCCAGGTGAAACATTATATCCTAGAAGGCTTCGTATTTTTTCTCTCCCCAAACAGATTATGATATTTTTGGAGATGTTTAAATTTTCAAATGAATCCCTTAACCAGTAGGATCAGATTCTGTGACAGCCTTTAAAAATCACTTGCCACAGCTGCCCTGCTCAGACGTCAGCCAAACAAGGGAGCAGCAATAGGTCTGCTCCCTTCCCTCTCTGCTTTCTGGCTGATAAACATCTCATCCCTTCAGCTAGTGCAGAACCATCACCTCAAATCATTTTTCATATTATTACTCTCAGCTGACATTGATCTGCACATATTCAGTTCTGGCTTAAAACCCTACCATGCTTCTCAGAGCAGCCAAAGCAGGACAGCAGAAGGCATGATGATGTCTGATGTCCTTCTGGGCCCTGGATGGGTCCTAGAGGTTTGGGTTCTGTTCTTAAGGCCAGATGACCACAGGGCTTTCTTAATGTCTCATGCAGGTACATACCATCTATAACATTTTGAGACTAAGATGGACTTCTTACATAAAAATCTTTTTTGAAGGGTTATCTGTTCGCTGATGATGTGGAAGTCTTCAAAATAGACTTTGCAAACAAGATCCTTTGTTATTAAAATAACCTCTCTTAATAAAAAAAATGAATACACTATTATATTTCTGAAAGAAGCTTATTTACTAGACTGACAGCTTAGCTAATAAAAATGCCATCAAGTATTCCAGAGTGAAATGGTTTGGGAACAGTTTCTGAACTCATTCCCAATTTGCTTAAAGCTTTCTGAACCTCCTCAAAGCTTTTCAATACAGGACTTTGCATGCAAAATTTTTTTCAGGGATCATCAACCCTTTTATCTTTTTTTCTTTCAAATAATATAGAAATTACAGCATCTTTCTGGTGAGACTTCACAAGCTTGACTAAAAACCTTTCAGATACTTGAAATAAGCAAATTTATTTACAGTGCATTTACTTAGCATGCTTGAGACAAAACTACACTCCATTGGTGTGTGCTCTGGGACAAAACTTGCAGGACACTTATAACAGAGAAATGAGCCAAACTCAACAATACTTTGAGTTTTCTTCCAAAGTCTCAGCTGGAATAAATGACAGAGCCCAATTCTTCATGCCTTTGAAATTTCTTTCAGTTATGCTTTATACATTTTTCATTTCTAAAATCAAACAAATTTTCTTTTCTAAGCATACATTGTTAATATAATAGGCTCTCTTTAACTGCTAAATAAAACTGAAAAATTAGGTCAGCTGAATTCTGTCTTTCAAAAGGTTTTGTCTTTCCTGTATTAGAAGTAGTCACATTGGATATTTCTTCTTCCCACATGGCTTTTTGGCATGACTACACAACTCTTCCTCTCTAGTCAGCATTTGTTCGTGTGGGATGCCAGAGTGCTATTGACAGGACCCCTTGCCAGATGACCTGCCAACACAAATATTCCATCAACACGTTTCTTTCTTGCTACTTAGACTCTCACAAATGACTCTTTTCTACATGAAGAGTTTCTAGTGAGACGCAGCTTCCATGTTAGTAGAAAAATAAATGAAGGATACACTGATCTAAGAAGAAGACTGCACAGCATGTTTAATGCAAACAAACTAAGCTATCTCTGGCAGACTGCAAGTTCATGATACACAAGGATCAAAAAATCCCCAAACAGTTCAATGAGAGCTGCGATGATTTTTCTCCAACGATGGACACTGTCCTAATTGGCATATTCATAGCGTCTTACGGTGAACTTTAAATGCAGAAACATCTTTACCACTGATTTACATTGGCCCAGTCTCCAAACATTCAAAAACCACCTACAGCAAGGACTCACTAGCCTGTCTCTGCAGTGCCTGCTATGCCTGGCTGCACTTTCTGACGCTCGTCTTGCATTTCATGACATCTGCCTGGCATGCTGAGTGAGGCCAACCTCAGAAACCCCCCTGGGCTGTGGGGTGCCTCTGCCTCACTGTCACTGAGGAGACTCAGCAAGCAGTTTGCAAAGGGGCTTATCAATAGGAAACAACCAAGCCCTGAGTCTTCCCCACTTCTCAGCACTCTTAGTTTGTATTCTTCTGGGAGATATCTTATTCCTTTGGGATGGAGATTGCTTATTGTCACATCAAGGAAATCTAAAATTGCTCAAGGATTTGTAGCACTTACTGTGAGAAACTAAAGCACTTTTGTATGTAGAAGGTGGATGAAGCTGTCAGAGCTTTTCTGGGCAAGGTGCACAGTGTGAGAGCCAGAAATATTTCCTTTCCAAAGTCAGTTCTGTCTGACTGCTCCTGGAAAGCAGTGACTGTGTCTGTGTATCACACACACACAGAGGCCAACTGCCACGCGATGCCTCACAGATTTATTTCAGTCAAGAAAAAGGTGTCAATCCTAGCACCTTTTCCTTCCTTCTTCTGCTTTTGAGTGGCACCGTTTACAATTACAGGCGTTCACAGCAACATTTGGGATTGTCTGATAGACTTTTGACTCACTCTCCTAGCCCTAGAAATTTTTTCAGACATTTTAAAGTAGTTGAGTAAATATCGTATCTTTCCACAACAGAAATCACAGATAAATATATATTAAAATCTATATATAGCATAAAGTAAAAAAATGTATCACATTTCTTTATATCCTGGCTTGAAAATCTTCCACGGTTTAATTTACATGCAGAAAGAAATGAGATGTCCAATTCTAATAAGAATAATCACCTTATATATGTCTATGACAATGATGGTCATTGTATGTGTATGTAGATACATTTGTCAGCGTTTACAGTAGGGGTAACTAGTTTTTCT